ACCAGCCTGAGCAAGAGTGACACCACATTTCTACTAAAAATAGAAAAATTTAGCTGGGCATGGTGGCGCATGCCTGTAGTTCCAGCTACTTGGGAGGATGAGGCAGAAGGATTGCTTGAGCCCAGGAGTTTGAGGTTGCTGTGAGTTACGCTGACATCACGGCACTCTACTCAGGGGAATAGATAGAGTAAGACACTGTCTCAAAAACAAATAAACAAAAAACTATAAAATGAAAAAATTTTTAGCTTCATTTTGCATTCTACACAGGATGAGGTACTCACTCCTTCCTCTGGCTTGGGCTCGCCTGTTGACCCTGTCCTGGAGTCCCAGTCAGCCCCTCAAGCCTCTTTCTCCCTCTCTCTCATCTCCCTCCTTCCACCAGCCTAGACTCCACTCCAGGAATCCTCCAGTCTGCCAGGTCCGCCCCCAGTAGCTACCCGGAAGAAGCTGAGTGTGTGGTTTGGGCAGCTCAGAAGGGTCATGGCCTCGCTGGGATCTGAGCCAGCTCCTGGAACACTGCGCCAGCTGCCTTCAACCCGTCTCTCCTGATTTTCCTCCCACTTCCTTGCTGCCCCTACTCTGCCTTTCCTTGGGGCTTACCCCCTTGGCACTCCCTAGGATCACCCCTTCTTCCCTCTGCAGGGAAGTGACCAAGTCACTTCTTTAGCTTCCATTTGCTGTCTGTAAAATGAGATCCTCCTTACCTATAGGATTCAGGGAGATAAAGTGCAGATACAGAATTTACTAGGGCACCTACTTCTGAGGACATCCTCAGGGCATCTCAGCCTGGCTCAGGGACACCCCTATTTACCTACCTACCTGCCCACCCACCTCCCATCAACCACCACTTTCTGTGGACTTGGCTCAACAGTATCGATTATTATTTATGTTGCATTATTTTAATGAAATACTTAAAACATACTGAAAAATACTTAAAATAACAGAGAAGCCACACAAACACCCACCACCCACACATGAACACGTTGTCATATTTGCTTCAGATCTACTTTAAAAAAAATCTATTTTAAAAATGCATTGAGCACCTACTATGTTCTAGGCACTGGAGATACGGCAATGAACAACAGCATTAAAAACTCAGCCCTCAAGGAGCTCATTTTCAAGCTCAGGAGACAAGCAAAATACACACAAAAAAAATCAAATAGGTGGTGTGGGTGAAAGAGTAGTCAGAGAGTGGAACCAGGCGGGGGGAGGGCCTTGGGAGTGGGCTGAGGGCTGCAATTGTAATCAGAGAGGTCAAGGAGGTTTCCTCCAGCAAGTGTCATTTAAGTCAAAATCAAAAGGGGATCCGGAGTTTGGCTAAGTGGAGACCTGAGTATAGAATGTTCTAGGTAAGGAAACAGCAAGTGCGAGGTGAGAACTTGCCTGGGATGTTTGAGAGACAGTAAGGGAACTAGCATGTCCTGGGAGTCCTAAAAACAGCTGGCTAAGTAGGCACAGACTTTGCCAAGGTCCCATGCTCACCTCCTGCCAGGCTCTCATTTACTCCTTACTACATTTTATAGATGAGGAAACTGAGGCCCAGGGTGGACTAGTGGCTTAGCTAACCCAGCTAGAAAGGGGATGACTTGGAATTTGAAGCCAGATCTGCATCTCATCCAGAGCTGAGCTATAGCCATGGGGTGGCCTAGGAGGAAGAAGGAGAGGGGGCTACCTCATCCAGGAAATGCCAAGAAGGCAGCGCCCTCCCTGGCCTGAGGATGGCCTGAGCTGGGGGGCTGAAGGAAGGGCCTGCTGACTCAGCCCCCCAAGGCTCCCCCAACTCCTGAGATTACTGAGGACCCTGTGTTCAAGTCCTTGCCTGGGCTCCCCTGAGCCTTAGTTTTTTGCTTCCAGTGACGAGCTGACTTGTTTTGGCTGCCTGACCTTGTCCCCTTGGGCTGCTGTGGTAATCACAGGCCTGGGCTGACCTGGCTCAAATGGTACGGGACAGACAGTCATTAGTGCCCCAGACCCTCCTAGCCTGGGGGATGGCGTCCTCCCCAGTGCCATTCCTAACCCCTGCCTGGCTATGTGGGTAGGCTGGGCCTGCCTGCCCAGGCCTCAGTTTATCCATTTGTATCTCAATGTACCCATTTAACCCTTTTTAACCCAATCAGATGGGGCCAACCTGGGCCTCAGAGTCACTTGAGAAAGGGACTAGTTTAAAATCCAGATTCTAGGGCCCCACTTCACAGACATTCACATTTGGGGGATCTAGGCTCTGTATTGTCAGCAAGTGTGTGTGAGGGGGTTCTGACACTTTGAGAATCCCTGCTTGCCATGGGATTCTTCCCAGCCTATCCCCCAGTCCCCTCTACCAGGTATACTCCTTACCACTACAGCCCAGCTTGAATTGTCCTCTCCCCAGACCAGGACACCTACCCTGGGCCAAATGCCTCCTCTGGGCTCCCAGAGCCCCTGTGCACCCCCATCTTAGGATAGTGAGCTATGGGTAGCTGTACTCCCCACTCAGTTCTGTTCTGCACCCTCCCCTCCCCCCAAAACTGTGAAGTGGGGACAGAGAAGGCATGGCTGCTGCCTGATGACCAAGTCCCATCTCAAAATGGAGACTGAGGGTCTACAGCCCTACCACCATGAATGCGCCCGATCTCATGAAGCTAAGCAGGGCTGGGCCTGGTTAGTACTTGAATGGGAGACCACCTGCGAATACTGGGTGCTGTAGGCTTTTGCAAAAAAAAAAAAAAATGGGGACTGAGGAAGGGCAGAGATTTGCCCCAAGTGATGGAGGGGAAGAGATCAAACAGCAATTAACAAGAACCATGATAATATTAAATAACAGCTAACATTTATATGATTCTTCCTATCTGCCTAGCACGTTCTAAGGAATTTATAAATGAGTATTACTTTATCTAATCTTCACAACAACCCTTTGAGATAAGGACTAATATTATCACCATTTGTACAGATGTGGAAACTGAGGCACAGAGTATTTAAGGTAACTTGCTCCAGGTAACCCAGCTCTAAATGGTTAAGTGGAGATGTGAATTAACATTTTTTTTGTAGAGACAGGGTCTTACTCTGTTGCCCAGGCTAGAGTGCAGTGGCGTCATCACAGCTCACACTGCAGCCTAACTCCTGGACTCCAGCGATCCTCCTGCCCCAGCCTCCAGAGTAGCTGGACTACAGGAGCATGAGCGCCCCACTAATACACACACACACACACACACACACATATATTTTTTGTAGAGACAGTTCTGCTATGTTGCCCAGGCTAATTAACACTTTCTGTGTGGGGCAGGACCAGGATCAGAACTGCCTTAGCTTAGCTACCTGTGCTGGGTGTGGGGTGGGCTGCTCAGTCTGGCCAGCTCTGCCCACAGCTAAAGACCCCCGGGACTTTGCCCAGCTTCCTTTGCCTTTTCTCAGCTTCGTCTCCCGTGAAACTGGGAAAATATTGTTGCCTCCCTCCACAGAACTGTTGAGAGCATGAAGTCAGTTGAAATCAGAAAAGGGCTTTGAATAGTGCCTGCCGCACAGCACAGCAGGCATTCATACCCTTTGCTGCTCACCGTCTGGTCTTCCTTCCTCTCACCTCTGGCCCCCCACGCACCCACCCACCCCTCTTCCGGATCCAGCCCCAACCCCCCGGAAGGGCCAAGCAGGGCTGGGCGTAGGTGGAGGGGGACAGACGGCCCGTTGCTTGGCAGCTTCCTGGGGGCCAGAGGTCAACTCCTCCTCCCTTTACACAGCTGGTGGGGTTGGGGCCTGGCCCATGGTCCTACCTAAGCTTCTGGGACCTCACCCAGCCCCAGCTCTGGGCCAGGGCAGCCCATCCTCGGCCTGGAAGGAAAGGTTCAGCCTGGAGGCCGTTGTCCAGATGAGAAAAGAAGTTCTGGGAGGTGGGTGGGGACAGTCCCTCCCGGCGTGGGGGCAGGGCACAGCTTTGTTTATACACCGCTCCCAGTGGAAGGGAGGCCTTTCCCTCATTTCGGAGAAGTCCAAACCCAAGCCACCTCCTGCGGAAGGACCCTCTCCCTTTGCTGGGTCCTTGTCTCTTTCTTTTGCTGATGCCACTCATACGAATCCCATGTGGCCCGGCGCGGTAGCTCACCGCCTGTGATCCTAGCACTCTGGGAGGCCAAGACTGGCGGATTGCTCGAGGTCAGGAGTTCGAAACCAGCCTGAGCAAGAGCGAGACCCCATCTCTACTATAAATAGAAATAAATTAATTGGCCAACTAATATATATAGAAAAAATTAGCTGCTACTTGGGAGGCTGAGGCAGCAGGATTGCTTGAGCCCAGGAGTTTGAGGTTGCTGTGAGCTAGGCTGACGCCACGGCACTCACTCTAGCCTGGGCAACAAAGTGCGACTCTCTCAAAAAAAAAAAAAAAAGAGAAAAAAAAACACAGAAAGAATCCCATGTGCTGTGACTGACAGCCTTTTGCTTTGGGTTCTGAAGGATGTGTAGGAGTTCCCTGGGGGCTGAGGAGAGAATTCCACACAGCCAAGGCAAAAGCACGGCGGTGGGAGGTTTTCTGGGGAACAGATAAAGTGGTGTCTTGGGAAACTGGTAAAATAGAAACTTGGTAATCACCTGACCGATGGTGTAGATGGGAAAACTGAGGGCCAGGGAGTTGTCCCGTTAGCGTTCTCCTGGGACAGGGCTCCCTCATTCCAAGAATGTGCGTGTAGCTCGCTCTTTGAGGGGGGAAAAAGCAAACCTCAAGTCCGGGAACACGCCAGGAAATCCGCAAGCGTGTCCTCCGCGGCCCACGCTGGAACCCTGATTCGCGGACTACAAGTCCCGGCAGGCCCCGCGCCGCGGCGCATGCCCGGCGAGCGTCCCTTGGCGAGCCCGGCCGAGCCCGGGGGCCCTACCCTCCCCATTGTCTGGCCGGCTGGGACCGGGCGCGCGGCACGGCGGGCACCCTCATTGGTCGGCGCGGTCGCGTCGGTCCCGGCGTCACACCCCGGTGAGGCCCGCCACTCCCCCTGCCCGCGCGCCGGCCGCCTGGCGCCCCGGCCGCGCTCGGACCGGCGGGCCGCGCGGCGCATCCTGCGGGCGCGCGGCGCGGGCGCGCGGCGCCGGCAGCCGGGCGCAAGATGATGAAGTTTCGGTTCCGGCGGCAGGGCGCCGACCCGCAGCGCGAGAAGCTCAAACAGGAGCTCTTCGCCTTCAACAAGGTGCGGCGGCCGCCCGGGCCGGGGCGGGAGGGGCCCGAGCTGAGGGCCCGGGGCCGGAGCCACGTCGGGCCCGGGGGGAAGGGGCGCCCGGCTGTGCGCGGGGCTGGGGCCGCGCCGGGCTTCCCCTCGGTGGGCCCCGCTGCTCGCGTCCTCCCCTCCTCCGCTCTCGTACTCCGGATGGGTCTGGGTCGCTCGCTGACTTTCCGCGTCTGCTCCCCGGGTCTCTGTGGGCCTCGCTGGTCCTGGCTCTGCACGTCTCTGCTTACCTGGGTCTTCGGGTCTCTTGTGTCTCTGTGCGACCCTGCATCTCTCTGGGGCTCTGGCCCGCTCTCTCCGTCTTTGACCGTCCCCCTTCCGCAGTCTGTGCTTGTGTGTGTCTGCGTTGGGGGGTGTCTCTGCCTCTGTCCCTGTGTATCTCTGCTCTCTTTTTCTGTTCCCCTTTATCTCTCTGCCTCTCAGTTCTCTCTTTCTCTCTCTTCTGGGTTTCTCTGTCCCTCACTCTCTTTCTGTCTTTATCCTTTTTCTTTGGGCCTTTGGGACAGTCTTGGGCCCCGTTTGTTTTGCATTCACACCCAGGCGGGCCAGAGGGGTGGGGGGTGGGGCTGGGAAATTTCTTCGAGGAGTCTCTCCTCCCTTCCCCCATTGCCCCAGGCTCTGCCGGGGTCTGCAAGTCCCAGGGACTGTTAAGTCCCACACGCCAGGCTGTGTACTCAAAATCACTTCGTATCATGGGGCCTCAGTTTCCTTCGCTGTGAAATGTAGCCACTTTCCTCCCTGCTATGGGCTCTGGCTCTCTCTACTATCTGGGCCAGCTGTCCTGCCACTTTGCACCAAGGCAGAGTAGGGGGGAGGGCTATTCTTTTCTAACCTGGGTGGGGCCGGAGAAGCCGTGGGACAGGGGCTGCCTCCCCTTGTACTTATTGTGTTAGATTGAGGTCCCAGTCTGCCCCTTGCTAGTTACTCCCAGGGTGAAATGGAGGGGTTGATTTTGTGCTCAGTTTTACTTCAAAGACCCCTAAATGGCAGAGCCTCTCACTGCTTTTTGAAATTAGAGTTACTATCTCCATCATACAGGTGAGAAAATTGAGGTTCAGGAGGGGATGACGACTTGCCCAAAGTCACGGAGCAAGCAGGGCCACTTTGACTTCCTTGAGTTCCTGTCAGTGCTTCAAGGGGCTGGGATTTTGGAAGGACTACTGTGGTCCTGAACTGATTCCATGGCACTTGCCCTGGGCTGCTGTGAGGAGTCTTGTGGTGGAGGAAGCTCTGGGATGGCTGGTCTGGGAATGGCCAAGGCACTGGGACATCTCATGGCAGGCTCAGGTTTCTCTGCCGAGGTGGATGTGGGGTGTGGGGGTCTGCTGCTGGGCCTCTCAGACTTGGTGGCTGAGAACCTGCCAGGGACCTGAGAGGGGCCCAGAGGGGAGGCTGTGCTCAGGGGCCCCCCCAGTGGTGCCTCTTCCTGTGCTAGGGTGGCTATCATGGTAGCCTCTGTGAAGTGAAAAGAGAAGGAAGCCGGGACAGGACCAAGGCTATGGAGGCAGATGGGGGTGCAGCTCAGCTCACTCTTGCTGGCCCCCGGGGTCTTGGAAGGTGAGGGCTCTCTGCTGAGGAGGATGCAGCCCTCTTCTGAGTGGGCAGCAATGATGTTGGAAGGGGGTGGTCTTGGGGAAGGGGTTTGGTCACTAAAGGGGGTGGTAGGTGATTCTTAGGGAATAGGCCCCAAATTCCTGAGTGTGGAGAGAAGGATGCAGGTCAGGAGTGAGCATACATACACTTTGGACTCCTGAGTCTTGGATTCAAGTCCCAGCCCAGCTCACACATTGTCTTTGGAATGTGCACTGATACTGAGCCTCAGCTGTGTGTGAGGTCTCCTAGGTGCTGGGGACACAGCACTGACAAATATCACACAGTGGGACGAATATCTCTTCACTCAGGGGGTTGATGTGCTAGTGAGGGAGACAAAGTAGAATATGTAATAGTTTGGATGGTGGCCAGTGCTGTGGATAAAATAAAGAGGGTGAGGATGTGGAGGTGCGGCCAGGCAGGGCTGCTGCATACAGCCAGGGCGAGTTAGGGAGGCCTCTCTGAGGAGTGACTCTTGGGCAGGGAAGGAGCCTGCTATGGGAGTGCTGAGTGAAGCCAGTCCAAGCAGAGGGACAGTAGATGCAAAGGCCCTGAGACAGGAGCTGCCTAGTGAATTGGATGAGAGCAAAAGGCTGTTGGCCCCAAAGTCAAGTAAGCTGGGGGAGGGTGGGACATGAGGCCAGAGAGGAGGGAGGCCAGGTGGTGACTCTGGGTGAGCTGGGAGCCCTAGGAGGATCTTGAGCACAGGAGGGAGGAGGACCTGACTGTGGTTTTCACAGGATCCCACTGGCCTCTGTGTGGGGACCGATGGTGGGGCCTGGAGCAGGGCGGTGCCAGTAGGTTGTGAGAAGGGCGACTTCTGAGTGGGTGTTGAACTGAGCTGACAGGGCCCAGGAATGGGTAGGGCTTGGGGTGTGAGGGAAGCAGATGCTGGACAGGGGACCTGACCTTCTCTCCTTCCTCTTTAAAGTGGGGGGCCTGGTGGGGGCCACTTCAGAGCTGTGGGGATTTGCGATGCAGGTGTCATGCACCCTGTCTCTGGACACTTGGCCGTAGGCAAGGTCTGGATAGAAAGGTCAGGTCCAGCATGGGTGCGGCAGTGTTGGTGGGAAAGGGAAGCTCCCCCCAGCTCCCCAGCCAAGTGGCCAACTCTGTCCTCAGGTGGGATCACTGTCCTCAGTCCCCAGATAGAAAAACTGAGGCTTGGAGAGTATTTTGACTGGCCCAAGGCCAAATAGCCAGGCCGTGGCCAAGCCGGCTGTCCAGAGAGCTCAGTTTCTGCCCAGTTGGGCTGAGGCACAGAGGGAGGCTGGGGTGACAGGCTGGGGACTAGGTTCTTAAAAATGTGTGACTTTTTGAGCCCGTGGGTCAGGAGTCATCCGTGGCACACACAGAGGCGTCTCTCACTGGTGTTCAGCACGTGGCTGGGGACCAGGTGTGCAGGCTCCCCAGGGAGGGCCCTCTTGGCTAGGCCTTGGGGGTGGGTAGGAACTCCTTGGGTGGGTGAGCCCAGCCAGAGGAAGGAGTGGGAGCAAGCGCATGGCGGGTGGGGAAGGGGCCATGGCGGGCCAGGACTGGCCTCGTAAGGGGCGGAGGAGCAGCTGGGGGGCTGTTCCGTCAACACCCTGGTGCACAAGCCCCCTTAACACCGGTCCCACTGCACTGGTGATAGGGGTGGCATCGTGTTGCCCAGCTGTTTCCAGGTAGGGAAGTGGGTGACACCTTCAGGGCCAGCAAGAAGCTACCTCTCTCTGGGCCTGAGTCTCTCCTTGTCTCTGAGGGGAGTCAAGAGCCTCTGCCTAGTTGATCCTGGGCATTGTCCCTTCACCTCAGACCTCTGTGTTTGGCCTGTGTTTGGGGAGTGCCGGGACTTCACATGGGACCCCAGGTGGCATGGCTCCTCACCAGGCTTCAGTCTGTGCCTCTGTGCCCCCATGGGGCAGGTGGGATCCTTGTCAGCACTGGCGCCTCTGTAAGCCTTGTTCTCCCTTTTTGTTGCTAGAGCCTGTGTGCTCTGGGGTCAACATAGATGTTGAGGGGATCAGGGACTTGGTGAGGGGTGGGCCTCTGGGCCATGCCCACAGTAGAGCCATGGGGACACCCAGGGGCTCAGCTTCCTCCCCACCAACTGGAGGTGCCTGCATCCATTTCACCGTTGACACTGAGGCATAAAGAACTGACGGTCCTGACTCTGTGTCAGCAGCAGAGCCTGAGGCTGCCTCAGAGTGGGCCTGCAGGTGGGCCGGGGGCAGCTGCGCCTGGGCTGTGCCCCTCATAGCACCCCCACCACTCCCCTCCCTGCAGACTGTGGAGCATGGCTTCCCCAACCAGCCCAGCGCCTTGGCCTTCGACCCTGAACTTCGTATCATGGCCATCGGCACCAGGTCTGGGGCTGTCAAGATGTATCCTTTGTGGCCGTGGCGTGCGGGGCCTCATTGGGACCACCTGCTCGCAGTTCCCCAGTGCTCGGTGCCCACCTTGGCGAGGCAGTGGAGGCTGCTTCTGTGGAGGCTGCAGCAAGTGCAGGGATCTTGCTGGAGGTCGGCCTGGCTTGTGCACCTGGGACTCGTCCTCACAGAGATGGTGGGGTCCTGTCACTGGGAGACAGGATGATGGGGTGTTCAGTTTGCAGCGGCCACTGCTGTCCCTTGCCACATTTTAGCCAGCCAGTTACCTTGGTGACCCTGCCATTGTCCCAGCAACTGTGACTGGGGAGACCAGGCCCTGGTGCCTACTGAGGGTGGCTGGGCTGGGGGCCCTGGTGAGCTGGTGTACACATGTGTACAAACGTGAAGACACGTGTGTTCAGCCAAGGAGGCCGGGGCAGTGCCAGGCTCGGCATGGTGAGCGCAGCACGGCCCCCACCTGGCTCCTGGTGGCTGCACAATGGGCTGTGTGAGCTGCACAAAGCGGGCATTTTCCCTGTAGGCGCAGGGTGTGTGTGGGGGGGTGGCCCGGCAGCTGAACGCCTCCTTGCCTGCCCTGGAGAATCCCCCCAACTGTTCCCAGGGAACCCAAAGTTTGGGGTCTGGCTGACGGCTGTCTGGTAAGGGGTGCCACCCCCCCTCCTCCTGTGTGGTCCTCTTCATTCAATAGCCTGGTCGCAGACATCGGTTAGTAGAAAATGAGTCAGTGCTTGCAAAGGGGAGGGCATAGGCTGGGGGTGTCCTCACCCCAAGGCTGGGGGCACTGGCCAGGAAGGGGTGGGCCTTTGGTTTGTGTGCTTCTGGCCTGCTCCAGGCAGTGTGGCTGGGCCGGAATGTCCTCTCCTCTTCTGTGGGCCCCTGAGGAACCAGTGGGGGTGGGGAAGGGGTAGGTGGCAGCAGAGCTTCCAGGCCCGCTGCTCCCACCCCTCATGGGTGCCGTGTTGCCTCCACACACGTCCATGTGTCCTCTTCCTCACAGGAACGTGCCTCACTGTTACATGGCCTGAGCTGTCCCTCTCACGTTGGGGTCTTTCGTGTGCTGGCTCCTCAGGCTCACAAAGAACCTGGAGACAGACGAGGAGACTGAGCTTCAGAGAGGAGGCCAGAGCCCAGCACCCCCTTTCCTTCCCTCCTCCCCTAAACCACCAGAGCCTGGGGCCCTTGGGTTGGGAAACTGAGGCTAGAGAGGGCCAGCCTTGGTCTCCCCAGCAGCCGCCCCTCTCCTTGCAAGGCTGAGCATCTCCTTGACGACCTGGTTCCCGCCAAGCTGTTCCTGCCCCCTCTTTTGTCCCGTCTTCTGAGTTCCTGGCCAGGCTCATGCAGGGGATCTCGGCTCAAGCTCCAGGCAACAGCTCCTGTGTTGTCACCAGGGCAACAGGGCTGGCTCCTCCCAAGGCCCCCTCCTGGGTGCCCCCAGGCTCTGCCATCCACCATCAACCCTGGAGTTGCTGGGACTCTGCCACTGGCACTGGGGACTTCAAGCAGGTCCCCAGACCTCTCCAGGTCTCTGTGTGCTCATCTGTAAAATGGGCAAGCTGGGTCACCCCCTCCCTCAGAGAGGGAGTTGTTGGCTACTTGCCTTGGAGGGAGATTGCTTTCCTTGTCCACAGCTGGAGTTTGGCCTGAAACTGTGGGGAGAGGCAGCCTGGATTCTCCCCTGCCTTCGGGCTTCCTTGTCAGAGCCTGGCTTGCATCTGGCCTGCCTGACCCCCACCTGCCAGGCCCGGCTCTCAAGCCCACACAGACATACTTGAGGCTGCAGTAGAACAGAGCCCCAGCTGGGCGCCAAGCCTGGGCCAGGCATGCTGCGTGTGTATTTATTCTCACTCAGTCTCCACCAGCCCTATGAGGTGGGAGTCACTAGCTCATTTTACAGATAACAAGCGAAGGTCTCGTAGCAGCACCCGGCTTGCAGGGGTGAATGGACCCTGCACTCCGAGCCTGGGGCAGGATGGGAGCTTCTTCAGGGAGGGGGCCTTGCTGGACCTTGTAAGATGCCTGGATGGTTAGACCTGGGCCGGGGCCCATTGGAATAGTCCTGGGGAGGGAGGAGGCCTGGGTGTCTCCCATGCCATGGTTTCCCAGTCTGTGCCTGCGTGTTTCTGCCCTTGACCCGTCACCTTCAGCTATGGTGCACCTGGGGTGGAGTTCACAGGCCTGCACCGCGACACGGCCACTGTCACACAGATGCACTTCCTGCCCGGCCAGGTGAGCCTCTGCTCCCCACCAGCCAGCTCCTGTAGCCCCCATGACTCCTCACCCCACCCCCACCCCCAGGCCAGCCCAGTTTTGGTCTCTGCTCACCCACCAGGGCCGCCTCCTGACCCTGCTGGACGACAGCAGCCTGCACCTCTGGGAGATCATCCACCATAACGGCTGTGCCCACCTGGAGGAAGCACTCAGTTTCCAGCTGCCCAGCCGGCCTGGCTTTGATGGTGCCAGGTACTAGAGGACTTGGGTGGGGCCAGCCGCTGGGTAGGGGCATTCTGTTGGTGGGAGCGCTGTGGGAGCTGGCTGTGCAATGGCCCGGTGGGGACGGGAAGCTGCCAGTGGGGGCTGCAGTTCAGGGTGGGGGTGCATTGAGCTAGGCCTGGTTTCCAGGCTGTAGCAGTTGGGCCCAGTTTGGACCAAGGTGTGCTTTGTGAACTTTTCGGGTTCAATGGGAGGTTTTGGCTGAGTCTGAGGTGAGGAGGTGAGCAGGTAATTGATGGTGTGAGCACCAGGAGATACACATGTTATATGCCAAGATCTTCGGACCTGAGACCTGGCACTGCACTCCCTGCAATGATGGGGTGTCTAGGAACTTGGGGCAGGGTCTAAGCTGAGCTGACATCAATAAGGGTCCCACGGCCCCTTGAGGTGGGGGTGGGAGACGGGTCATTGTGTGTATAGAGGAAAAGGCAAGTTTAGGGGCATGGAGGGTCCCACAGGCTGTGCTTGTTGAGGTGCTGGCAGCATGCCCCAGTGTGTCACCAAGTATGTCTGGCCCCCCAGGTGAGAGTATAGGGACCGCTCCCTCCCTACCCTTGGGCTGAAGTAGGGGAGTCCTAACCCAGAGGTAAATTCCTGGGGCCTCCCAGTCTCTGTAGGCAGGGGTGATCTGGAGCCTTCCTGCAAAGTCAGGGGACATCTAGAGGGCTGGGAGTGGGATTCTTGGGTGGGACTCAGAGGGGCCTTATCTGTTCTGGAGCTCCTGGTCCTGGCCTGGGTCATGTCCTGGTTCTTGCCTTCCCCTTCTGGTGGGTGGGAGGAGCTGGGAACCCAGTCTCCAAGACCTGGGGAACCTAATTTTATCCCTCTCCCTGCTGACATCCTGATGAATAATTGAGCAGGCTAATTATGACACACATCCCCTTCCCGGGCGGCTCCCTAAGTAGGCCCCAGTGAGGGCAGTGGGGCTGGTGATGAGCTACAGTAGTGGCCCAGCCCCTCCACACCCCCAGCCGGTGGATGGGCTCGCACCCTCACCCCCTCCCTCTCCTTCCCTGCAGTGCTCCACCTAGCCTCATGCGTGTCACTGTGGTCCTGCTGGTGGCTGCTGGCGACATGGCAGCCCTGGGCACTGAGGGCGGCAGTGTCTTCTTCCTGGACGTTACCACCCTGACGCTGCTTGAGGGACAGACCCTTGGTCCAGACGAGGTTCTGCGCAGGTAAGAGGCAGGCTGGCTTCTTTGCACTGGCTCTGTGCCTGGGAAGTTCTGCCGGCTCACCTGAGCTTCCTCTGCAGCTTGCCGGATGACTACCGGTGTGGGAAGGCGTTGGGCCCCGTGGAGTCACTTCAGGGACACCTGCGGGACCCCACCAAGATTCTGATTGGCTACAGCCGGGGCCTGCTGGTCATCTGGAACCAGGCTGCGCGGTGTGTAGACCATGTCTTCCTGGGGAACCAGGTATGTGGGTGAGGCCCGTGCCCCCTCAGCCTGGACCCCCTTGTACACACCCGCTGTAGCTCACATCCTCCTGTCCCTGCCCACCCACAGCAGCTGGAAAGCCTGTGCTGGGGCCGCGATGGCAGTACTGTCACCAGTTCACACAGTGATGGTAGCTATGCTGTCTGGTCTCCAGAGGTTGGCAGCTCCCTGGCACTGCAGCCCACGGTAGCCACCACACCCTATGGTGAGTGCTGGGAAGGCCTGAGCTGGAAGGTGGGGACTGAAGGGCTACCTGGCCCTTGTGGGAGGCGCTGCTGAGCTGAAGCAGATCTGCAAAGTGGTGACTCCCCAGGGGGGGGCATGGTCGGAGGCAGTGGCCTTCTCCTTGGAGGAGGCAGGAGGCAGCTGGGAGGAAGAGAGTGGTGGAAGACAGAGCAAAAATGGGAGGAACAGTGAGGACTGCCAGTGAGTCCAGTCTGATGCTGTCCTACCTCCCAGGCCCCTTTCCCTGCAAGGCCATCAACAAGATTCTGTGGCGGAACTGTGAATCCGGGTAGGTTGATGGGGGTGGGTGTCTGGCATGGGTCCGGTCTGGCTGAGGGGCTGGAAGGGTGAGCTCTTCCTGGGCCATGGCGTGTGTGCTTCAGACCCAGCTGGCTCCAGGCTCATGTGCCTCCTTTCTGCATGCAGGGGCCACTTTATCATCTTCAGTGGTGGCATGCCCCGTGCCAGCTATGGTGACCGCCACTGTGTGAGTGTGCTGCGAGCCGAGGTACTGGTGACACTTGATTTCACCTCCCGCATCATCGACTTCTTCACAGTGCACAGCACTCGGCCCGAGGATGGTGTGTGCCCTGCCCCCTAGTCCCACGCGGTGCCCTGTGCCACCTGTGGCTGTGCTCACTTGTCTCTCACCCCACAGAATATGATGATCCCCAGGCCTTGGCTGTGCTGCTCGAAGAGGAACTGGTGGTGCTTGACCTTCAGACGCCTGGCTGGCCGGCTGTGCCTGCCCCGTACCTGGCCCCGCTGCACTCGTCTGCTATCACCTGCTCGGCCCATGTTGCCAACGTCCCTGCCAAGCTGTGGGCCCGCATTGTGAGCGCCGGCGAGCAGCAGAGCCCCCAGCCTGCCTCCAGTGCCTCGGTGTGTGCCGGGTGGGGGGGTTCCTGGGGGAGGGCACTGCCCAGGCCTAGGCCTGAAGGTTGGACTGTGCCATGCAGGGCTGAGAGGGAGAGACATTCCTCCTAACCTTGTTGCACATCTCTGCCACCCTATCCCAGAGTTGGCCCATCACTGGGGGCCGGAGCCTGGCCCAGGAACCATCACAGCGAGGGCTGCTGCTGACTGGGTAAGGCAGACTCAGCGGTGAGGTGTGCATGCGCGTGTGTGTGTAGGTGAATGAGACTCGGCACCTACTAGGCCTGGGGTTCCCCTCACTGGTATGGGAAAGCCCGTCCTGGGCCTAGTGGGCACCGAGCTGCCAGGAGACTCAAGCATAGCCCCTGGCAGGACTGTGTTATCCCCCTCGGCCATGGTGGATTGGGATAAAAACTTCCCTAGACCCTGGCTTGAGGCCCCACCCTGCTCTGCCTTTTGGCCTGGAACTGAGCTCCAGCAAGCCCCAGGGCTCCACCTACCCAGCTTGCCTGCCCTGGGACCGGAAAATCTGGGCTGGCCCACGGTGAGCTGCCTGGGGCAGGTCCTGGAGAGCCCGACCTGGGCCTGGCGGGCGCTGACGTGCCCGATGACTCAGGCCCTGACTTCCTGCCCTGTCCCTCCCTCACTCCTGTGCTGGGACCCTCAGGCCTCTGACTCTAGCGTGCTCAGGGCTACTAGAGTGGGTCCCAACCAACCCCACAGACTGACAACCCTCTGTGCCCTGGCTCTGGGCTCCCACTGGTGCCTGGCAGCCCCTGTTTGTGCTCTGCATCCATGTCCTGAGGCTACGCCCTAGATTTGTCTACTCCTCCCCTCCCCCACTGCCTGCTTCCTCCTGGGCTCCGCAGTCGTCCTGCTGCTCTGCCTACCTGGGTTCCTCCCGCCACAGCTGCCTCCTCTTCCTGGGATTCCCTGCACTCTGCTCTGTGCCTACCAGTGGGGGCAGAACCCTCATGGTCCTCTTTTCTCTGCGAATCCCCCTCTGCCATCTCCTATTTGTTAGGGTGGTCATTTCCATACCTTCCCACTCTGTCTGAAGGGCCATGGTGCATGTGACCTGGCATGCAGTAGGTGTTTAGTATGTGTTTCTCCTATACAGTAGGTGCCTACTGTTTGTTGTATGCAGTAGGATTTGGTCAGTGTTTGGTATATGCAGCAGGTGCTCAGTGGGTGGTCACTGGTTGAGTGGATGGAGGAGTGTGCAAGCCACCCAGAGACCTAGGGGTGGTCCTGACACCTGCCCTCCCTGCAGCCACGAGGACGGTACTGTACGGTTCTGGGATGCCTCAGGCGTGGCACTGCGGCCACTCTACAAGCTGAGCACGGCTGGCCTCTTCCAGACGGACTGTGAGCATGCCGACAGCCTGGCCCAGGCTGCCGAGGATGACTGGCCGCCCTTCCGCAAGGTGGACCTCTTTCCCCTGGGCCTGAGGAGCGGGTCCCAGCTCTGCCCAGTGTCATCACCCCATCCCATCCCCCCAGGTGGGTTGTTTTGACCCCTACAGTGATGATCCCCGGCTCGGTGTGCAGAAGGTCTCGCTCTGCAAGTACACAGCCCAGATGGTGGTGGCTGGCACTGCAGGCCAGGTAGGACTGGGCATCCTCTGGAGTGTGGCTGTCAGGGAGGGCTTTCTGGAGGAGGTATAGAGGGACTGGCATAGGCAGCAGCCCAGAGGTGGGAAGAGGGCTCCAGGTGGGGCTAGCTGGGGCAGGGATGATGGGAAGTGGGCCCATCACTGTGGGCTTTGAGTCAGGCTCTGGCTAGGGGAACCATGGAGCGTTGGGGTAGGGGCAGGAACACAGCTCACTGCTGTGCCTCTGGCACTCACATGGTAAACAGACGGTTCTGAATGTGTGCTTTTTCCAAAATGGGAGGGGTGGGTACTTAGCTCTTAGATGGCAGGGACCAGTGGATCTTGGTCACCACTGTGTTCCTTGGTGCTCAGCAAGGGCTTTGGTATACAGTAGATATTGAATAGGTGCTTATTCAGTGGATAAAGTGAAGATAGTCCAGGGTAGTCAGTGGCTGGTGCTGTGTTTCCGAAGCCGGAGGCTAGGGTGGGCTCAGGGTGGCCCCCTCCTGTGCTGACCCCTCCCTCTGCCCCGGCGTGGGCTCAGGTGCTGGTGCTGGAGCTCAGCGACGTGCCCTCGGAGCACGCGGTCAGCGTGGCCAGTGTGGACCTCCTCCAGGACCGTGAGGGCTTCACGTGGAAGGGCCACGAGAGGCTGAGTCCGCGCACAGGACTGCTGCCTTGGGCTGCTGGCTTCCAGCCCCGTGTGCTGGTGCAGTGCCTGCCGCCAGCCGCTGTCACTGCTGTCACGCTCCACACCGAGTGGGGCCTTGTGGCCTTTGGCACCAGTCATGGCTTTGGCCTCTTCGACTACCAGCGCAAGAGCCCTGTGCTGGCCAGGTGTGTGGAGTGGGGGCTTTGGGCAGCTGGAGCCCCCTCCCTCATGAAATGGAGTCTGGGCCTCTCTTTCCCCTTGTAAGGTTTGGTGTGGCAAAGGTGGGGCGATTTTTAAAGCCCCTGTAACCTCCATCATCTGGTAAGAAATAACCTGGTAGCTCCATATAGGACCTTCTAAGTACCACCAGCTGCTGGGTCCGTGGAGCAGTGCCATGGGGGCTTGGGCTTCAGCTGGAGCAGTGGCTGCTCCAGGAGGCTGCTCCATAGCATGACCAGCCCCTGCCTGCCTTCAGGTGCACTCTTCACCCCAACGACTCCCTGGCCATGGAGGGACCACTCTCCCGAGTGAAGTCGCTCAAGAAGTCACTGCGCCAGTCTTTCCGGCGCATCCGCAAGAGCCGTGTCTCTGGCAAGAAGCGGGCTGCTAATGCCAACAGCAAGGTGAGCTGGGGCAGACTGCCTGGGAGCCATGCTTGGCCCTCGCTTGGGACCCTGGGGGCTGCTCACCTCACAGTGCTCCTTCCCCTGCAGCCTCTGGGCCCTCAGGAGGGATAGGGTGAGCTAGGCAGGGTGGTCGAGGGATGGTGATGGGATGTGGGGTGTCAGGCAAGGTGAGCAGCTGGTGTTCAGGAGCCCCCACCCCTCCAGTTGCAGGAGGCCAACGCGCAGCTGGCCGAGCAGGCCTGCCCCCACGACGTGGAGATGACACCTGTGCAGCGCCGCATTGAGCCCCGCTCTGCCGATGACTCCCTCTCAGGCGTGGTGCGCTGCCTCTACTTTGCTGACACATTCCTTCGAGATGGTGAGGCCAGGCGAGGAGGGGCTGGGGAGGTTGGCATCAGTTGGCCATCCAAGAGATGGGTGTTGGTGGGGACAGTGGAGGGACTGCACCTTCAGGAGGTTCGAAATCACCGAGTGCTTCCTGTGTGCTGGGCCCCCCACAGTCCCACTGGGGTTGGTGAGGGAGCCCGGAGGAGGGAGCCCAAGGCCTGGGGCACAATAGGGAGCCGAGCTGGCCTGCGCCCCACGATAGGGGTGTGTGGGGGGAGCCGCCCGGCCCTTGGCTGGAGTGGAGCAGTGCGTGCTGAGGAGGCATCTCAGAGGTGCTGGGGTTGGCCACCACGCTGAGGACCAGCTTCCACTCTGGGTGGCTTTGGAGCCCAGGAAAGACCTGGGTGTGTTGATTAAGTTATTGATTTGTTTGCTTTGTTTTTTAACTGGAGAATTTCAAAGATACACAAAAATAGAGAGGGGATCACATCCAGCCCTGGTGTCTCACCTGCTGCCGCTGGGGAAGCCTGAAGCTCCTGAAGCCTGTCCCTCCCACACTCTGCTGTTTTATCTCATGGGCTCTTTGAAACAAAAGCCCAAGCATGAGTTCTTCAGCATGTGTCTGACAGACGTCACTAATAAGCCACATCGTGCCCTGTAGAGCCGACGCTAATTCCTGAGTCTCATCTGCTTGGTCCACAGGCCCCCTTTCTGATGTCATTTATTTGCCCAGGGTCTTTGTCCTGTAGATTTTCCCACTGTCTGCATGTGGCTGAAGTGGCCCAAGGTTTTCAGCTTGTTCGCCATCCCTGTGAGGAAGCTGATGGGTTCAGGTTCATGGCTGGCCAGGGCTCCTGTCTGGTGTGTCATGTCTGAGTTGCTCAGTGATTTTTCACCTCAAAGCTGTGGTGGTTGTGTAGGTCCCTCAGTCGTCAAGGTGCCAAGTGGGGAACATCCAAGTCCACCCCTGCCCCTGTGGGGTTCAGTTCTGAATCTCCACTAAACGTTGCTCCCCAGAGGTTTGGCTCACATTGGCAGGGCAGGGCAAGGGGTGTCCTGAGTGGCCTCAGCACATTTGCCCCAGGCCTGGTGTCTTCTGTGTTGAAAAGGCTTCCTCTGGCTGCCTCTCAGGGAACACCGAAGAGGGAGGGGCGAGGCAGGGGCTGAGATGGGGCACCCTGTGGGGCGAGGGCCTGAATCCCAGGCTCATGACAGGTCTAGTGCTGGGCCGTGGAGGGTGGGGAGGAGAATAGGGGACTTGCAGAGTTTGGGGCATGAGTGACAAGGACAGAGCTGCATTTACTGAGGTGGAGCTCAGGTGCAGCCTGCAGGGATCGAGCTCTGTGTGGGTGCCTGCTGACATCCTGTGCAGGTGCCCTAAAGGCCACTCGTGTGTCTGCAGAAGGGCTGCATCTGGGGCCCTGGCTGGAGTCTGCAGCATGGAGCTGGTGTCTCAGGCCACAAGGTTGAAGTCACTGGGGAGGCAGCCGTGGGACAGGAGGGAACCAGTCCCGAGTCCCGGGGTATCACAGTTAGGAAGTGGAGGTGCAGGAGAGGCGGAAAGGATGGGGAGGCTGCAGGGGAAATGCCCAGCCTGCAGGGAGCACCCTCCTCACAGAGCTGTCCCTTGCAGCTGCTCACCACGGGCCCACCATGTGGGCAGGCACCAACTCAGGCTCCGTGTTTGCCTACGCGCTGGAAGTGCCGGTGGCAGCAGGGGCAGGCAGCGAGAAGCGGCCCGAGGGGACGGTGGAGGCTGTGCTGGGCAAGGAGGTGCAGCTCATGCACCGGGCGCCCGTGGTGGCCATTGCCGTGCTGGATGGGCGTGGCCGCCCGCTGCCCGAGCCCTACGAAGCCTCGCGGGACTTGGCACAGGCACCTGACATGCAGGGCGGTCATGCTGTGCTCATTGCATCTGAGGAGCAATTCAAGGTGAGCTGTGTGGGCTGTAGAATCCCATACCTCAAGAACACCATCAGACCCTCTAGAACCCCCCACACCCTTCCTGTATCGCCCACCTGCTGAGACCCTACGTGACCCTCCTGCCCCCTGGAAACACCTCCAGCCAGCAGAGACTCCCTGCCAAGAACCCTCATGTCCCCCCAGTCTGCTGAGTTCTCCTAAGATCCTCCAATCTCAATGTACCCCACAAAGCTCCTGTACCTTACTGGGACCCCTGAGTCCAGTCTCCAGGGGCTCTGTCCTACAGGAACTCATGGTTTGGTGGGGATACCAGATATGACCTTGGGACTGTGTGTGAGTGATCATGCCACATGTAGAGAGGGGGCCTGGGAGGTTGCTGGGGTATAGCCTGAAGCTTAGGTCGAGCATGGAGGATGCAGGAGGGGAAGGCCAGCCTAGGCAAGGGGGTGGCAGGGTACACAAGCAGGGGAGGCAGTGTGGCCCAGGGTGCAGGTTGGGGTTGAGGCTTGCAGGGCAAGCTGGGCTTTGGGGTGGGAACTGACAGGCCAGTAGCTGTGAGGGTGAGGGGCCCTGGGGCAAGAATAAGGCCAAGCTCTGTGCTCACTGGCTGCCTGCCACCAGGTGTTCACACTGCCCAAGGTGAGCGCCAAGACCAAGTTCAAGCTGACAGCCCATGAAGGCTGTCGAGTGCGCAAGGTGGCACTGGCCACGTTTGCTAGTGTCGCCTGTGAGGACTATGCTGAGACCTGCCTGGCTTGCCTCACCAACCTGGGTGACGTCCACGTCTTCTCGGTGCCTGGCCTGCGGCCCCAAGTGCACTACTCCTGTATCCGGAAGGAGGACATCAGTGGCATCGCCTCGTGTGTCTTCACGCGCCACGGCCAGGGTGAGGTGGGGCAGGGGTGTTGGGGAAGCCTGCCTGAGTCGAGCCACCCGGGTGAAGCCAGGAGAATTGCTTGGGAGTGGAGTCAGCAGAAGGCGGGTGGGGCCTAGCAAGGCCCAGCCAGCACGTGCCAGGGAGGGGACCAGCTGAGGGGCTGTGGTTGGTGTCACGTCTCCTAACTGCACTCCTCACTCCTCTCCTGCATGCCCAGGTTTTTACCTGATTTCCCCGTCAGAATTTGAACGCTTCTCCCTAAGTGCCCGGAACATCACAGAGCCACTCTGTTCTTTGGACATCAGCTGGCCCCGCAATGCCACCCGGGCCAGGTGTGGAGGGGCAGCCCCTAGCCCAGTGGCTGTGGCCTGGGCCAGGTTTCAACCCACCCCTCATCTGCCCTTCCTTCTGTATCTCCTGTCTGTTCCCCGCCTGGGCTCTGGCATGGGAGGGTGGGGATCTAGTGCTACAGCCACACATCACCTGCCTGCGGTCCCCATCACGGCTCTCTCTCTCTAGCTACAGGCTCCGAGAGTCACCCAAGCTGAGCCAGGCTAATGGGACCCCAAGCATCATCCTGGCCCCACAGAGCTGTGACGGGAGCCCGGATCCAGCCCACAGCAAGGGCACCGGTAAAGGGGGCATGAGACGGGGGCAAGCCCTGGCCTGATGATGTCCTGGGGAGGGAGTCAGGACACGCAGCTCAGGTTCAGGGCAGGCCTCTGCAGGGGGCAGCAGCTGAGCCAAGGCTGGAAGCTGGGCAGGAGAGGGCTGAGCATGTGGCTGTTGGTGCCACATCCCACTGTGGGCTGCTTGTGGGTGTATGTCCCCAGGCCCCCAGGTATAGAGTAGTACTGAGGAGTCCTGGCAGGGCCTCATCACTTCCTCCCTGCAGACACCTCAGAGCCATTGGAGGCCGTGCTTTCACCCATGTCTGTCGACTCGGCCACCAGTGCTGACACCACGCTAGACACAACAGGGGACGTCACGGTGGAGGATGTGAAGGATTTCCTGGGGTGAGGCCAGCGAGTGGGGGAGAGGTTGCCCTGTCTCCTCGGCCTCCCTCCCAGGGCTGCCAGAGGCTCCCTGACCCCTATCCTCTGACCACTTCCCCATCTTGCAGCTCTTCCGAGGAATCGGAGAAGAATCTGAGGAACCTAGTGGAAGATGAGGCCCGGGCCTGCGCCATCCTGATCAAATGAGGTGCTGCAGGGGTGAGGCCCTGGGTCTACCTGGTCCTCACTACTCAGTAGTGTCCACCCTTCAGGCCCTGTCTGGACCCCACAGGACCTGCCCCCACCCTGGTCTTGCACCTGGAACACTGGCACTCCCTGAAACCTGCTGCCTTCCATGGGATGTCCCAACAGGGGCTTCAGGGGCTCACACATGTAATTTACATAGTTGGGTATTAGAAAAGCAGGGCCAGCCCATCATTCCTTGCATGTCATGGGTGGTAGTTGGAACAAGATCAGATTAAGCCACTCAGAGGTGGCAGCAGTTTGGGGCTTGGGAGGGCTGGTTTTGCCAGCCTGTTTCACAGGCAGGATTATGAGGTATACAAGGTCAGGTCCTGCCACTGAGCCCAGTCAGAGACTGACTTGCTCCTGGCTAAGTGTCAGTGTGGGTCCACAGATCTGCCCACCCCATTTGCTGCCTCATGCCTCCATCCATCTGACCAGAAGCCACAGCCCCACCCTGCACTGGGCACAGATAGCCCTGGTTCCCTTTTCGTCTGGCACCCTCCCTGGCCTCAGTGGGTTGTGTGTGGTCCTGTGCTTGGACACCCACCTTAAGAGACTCATCGAGGCCATCTCAGGCTGTCACAGAAGGGCTGTGTCTGCCCTCTGGGCCCCTCTCACCTCCTGATCCCTCTTCTTTCCCTCTCCTAGGAAGGCCAGAACTATCCCAAACTACCGCTGTCCTGCTCGGAGCTAGGGTCCTGGATCCCTGGCTCCTGCCTGGTCCCTTAACATAGATCCACACCTGCTAACCTGTGGGCTCCAATGGGACCTGCCATCCTGTCCCTGCTGACCCTGGCCCTGGAGCAGCACCAGCTCCAGGGTGTGGGCCCAGGAGTCTGCATCCTCCTATAGGCAGTTGGCTGCCCTGGAGGCTGCTGCCTCAGGGAGAGGACAGGTGGGGCCCAGGACCCTACGCCACTTCCCACTCCACACCGTCCTCCCCCCTCCCTTTGCAAAGAGTATTTTTCTAACGCCTGGGCGGGACAGTCATTTCTAAAACTATTTTGGTACTTGTTCCTGGACCACCCCTGGCCTGTGTGTGAGTGCACACGTGTGTGTGGACGTGACTGGGAACCCTGCTGGGCACTCATGACCCGGCCCAGTTGGGTGTGTGTGTGTGGAGGGGGTGGTCAGGATGGGTTTCCCTGTAGATTGTACCACGGGGTTTTTTTCTGTCATTTTGTTAAAATTAGCGCCGTTTTAATATTAAAAGTACTGATTTTTAATATTGAAAATAAAAGCATTTAATATCTCTTAAAGGGCAGCCACATCTGCTTTATCCCTAGCAGGGGCGGGAGAGGCTTCATACCAGTGCTCACACTGGAGGGAGTCCCATTTCCCAGACTCCGCGAGGGTACCTGACAGGGTCACCCCATCGGTGCTGCTTGGGGCTGTGTGCTACGTACACTGTGGCACTGGGTGGGGGGGTGGCCAGGGCAGGAGCTGTCGTTTTGCATATTCTCCACTAGCAGGTGTGGACAGAGAGGGTCCCTTCCTCACCCAGGCTGGGGGCTGCAACGGGGCACTCCCTAGGCCAGGGCCTTGCGGAAGGTGCTCCAGGCATGGAAGCAGCGAGTGAAGGCGTGCTGCTCATTGCCCTTGCGGACCAGGCGCAGGCGGCGTGGCCGCTCGTGCTCTTTGGATCGCATGTGCTGGATGTACACCTGGCAAGGAGGGAACAGTAAGCTTTGAACGTTCCTCCCAGGCCTGCGGACCCGGCCTCAGCCTCCCCCCTCCACCCAGCTCACCTGGCAGGCCTTCAGACTGAGTTTGATCTCTACCTGGCTTGTCTGGGTTCCCACCCACATGTAGACCTGTGGGGACAGCAGGGCAGGTGGTCACATGGGTGCCTTAGGAATACTTCTCTTCCAGCCATATACAGGCCGGAGCTCCATATACAAGTGGGTAGACTCCTCCTTGAATGAGTGGGGCCCATTGGTGGGGGTCATTACCTCTTGGCCATTGTCCAGCAACATGATGTCATCGTCTGCCAGGTCATCTTGACAAAAGTCAGAGCATTTCTCAGTCACTGCGAAGTAGCCCTTTTCGTTGGAGCACCTGGGGGTGAAGGTGAGGCCAACGGTCATAAGCAGCAGTGTCAGGACTAAGGAATCTGAGGGAGAGACAGGGCTGTGGCCTCACCGGAAGAGCCGTGTGTGCTTCATATATTCAGCGTCATCGTCGTAGGGCTTCTGTGCCCCGATGCCCACCCAGAAGAAGTTCTCGGGCTCCTCACCTTCGTTGATGACCTGTGGGAAAGGGCCAGTCCAGCCCAGGGCCCTTGCCTGCCCTGGCTCAGCTCCCTGCCCACCTGCCCACCTCATTACCTGCTTGCTGTAGGAGGCATCAAACATGGTGTTCAGGATGTCTTCTGCCAGCTTGGCCTCGTCAGGGTCTGATGCTCGGCCCACCCAGGCATACACGATGCCTTGGTTGTCCTCACTCTCAAAGGGAACCTGGAGAGCATGCAGGGGTTCGGGCAGGTCTAGGCCCCGACCCACTCCTGGATCTACTGTCCTGGCTCACACCCACAGCCCTACCTTGAGAATGAAGCAGAACTCGGAGTTGAGGAAGCTAGAATCTGTGTTGATCTGGATGCATCTGGGGAGGGTGGGGGTGTCAGCAGGGAGTCAGGGCCCAGTACCCAACCCCTGCCTGCCACTGTGCCCTCCCCCGAGCCAGGCACCGGGTACAGAGGGCGCTGCCATTGGTACGAATCTGGTACAGGCTCGGTTGCAGGGCGCTCTGGACCACCTTCCTCTTGCCCCGGTGGATGATGAACTTTCTCTTGAAATGGGACAGGAACTTGGGGTTCTCCTGCTGCTGTGTCATTCGTACCACCTAGGGGTATGAAAGTGTCAGGGGAAGCTCCCCTGGACCCCAAACCTCCCTTTGGGTCTGGATGCCACCACACCCCTCCAATGGCTCTCAGGGCGTAGCAGGTGCACCTCCAGCTTGCCAGGAAAGAGGCTTTCGAACTTCTTCTGCAGGCTGAAGGTAAAGGTCAGCCAGCCCATGTTGGAGGCCTCGCGGCCCTGCCAGAAGTACACGATGCACTGGAAGTCCTCCTCGGGCTGCTTCTCCTCCACCTCAGCAGCCGTCATGTCACCTTTGCCCTCGGCCTTCTCCTCGTCCTTCTTCTCCTCCTCCTCGTATTCTACGGGTACCCAGTACCTGCCGGATTGGGGGACAGTGAGCAGGGGCCCGAGTCCCCAAGTGCGGGGCTTCGGTCAGGGAGGCGCGCTAGGGCGGCACCTGCAGAGGAAGACGTAGCAGTCCTGCGTGTAGAAGTGGCCGAACTCCTCCTCAGGCAGCCGTGCGAACTTCTTGCCCTCAAGCACGAAACCCTCCATGCCATCCAGGTCCTCATTCCACTCCTCCATCAGCTGCTCCGCCTGCAGGCGACAGGCCCCGCCCCGCCGCGGGTCTGAGCGGTGCCCCGCGCGCAGGCCCCGCCCCCGCCGCCTGGGTCCCGCCCCGCGCGCAGGCCCCGCCCCCGCCGCCTGGGTCCCGCCCCGCGCGGGCCCCGCCCCCACCTCAGCCAGAGCCATCGGCGGCTGCCGCGGCAGGAACAGCGCAGTCAGGTCAGCCTTCATCTGGTCTTTCTTCTCCGCGTCGCGCTTCACCTTCCCGGAAAGACCAGGGCCTTGCAGCACGGCCTCCGCGTTACGCGTGTAGTCCACTGTCAGCACGTCATCCCAGTTCTTGAACTTTGCCTTGAACACCTGCCAGTGGAGGGAGGAAGGGCATGAACTGTGAGGGGTCCGGCACTGTTAAGGTTAGGGTCCAGGAAATTGGTGGAGGCTGGGGCGTGGGGGGTGCAGGTGCGACCGGGGCGGGGCCGGGAGATGGGGCCTAGGAAAGTAGGAGGGACAGGTGGCGGAGGGGTCGGGCGGGGCGGAGCTCTAGCGAAGAGGAGGTGGGTTCGGCCCAGCTTTGAAGGGCAGTCATGGAACCAAAGAGGGGTGGGGCATGGCAGGTCGGCAAGATCGTGGGGCTCGGCGAGCACACCTGTGCCTCGGTGCCCTCAAGGCTGCGGCTGACTGCGGCGTGGCGTGGCCGGTGTAGCATCGCACACAGCTCCTGGCCCAGCTTGAGGGCGGCGGCCCGCACCAGGCGTGGGGACTTGCGGCCAAGCCAGATGAACACGTCGGACCAACAGTCCAGGATGTACACGCAGCGTGTGTCCAGCAGGCTCTGCAGCTGTGGGACCGGAGGCTGGGGGTCAAAGTCTGACCATGGGGGTAGGGGATCCCGGTCCCCCGCCCTCCTGTGCCTCTCACCAGCCGCATCCCTGGCATCAGCTCCACCTTGGGCCGTTTCTTATGTTCCACAGAGAGCTTGTAGTTGATCTGGGGCAGCTCCAGGTAGCCCAGGCCCAGGCCCACCTGGCAGGAGAAAGGGCAGGGCATGGCAGGGACGGGGTCTGGAGACAGAAGCCTCACTCGCACAGCCCCTGCTTGGAGTCTGACCACGCCCTGCAGTGTGGCTCACTGCTAGCTCCTGTCTGGACCTGATTCCCTCTTCCCCAAGGTCGTTTTAAGGATATCCTATCAGTGGAAGGCCTTTTAAACAGTCCTTTCCCTGTGCCATTTCTAATTCTCTAACTTGTCCCTTTCCTGCTCACAAAACTCCCATGGCTTCCAGTCACCCACAGAATTAAGGCCGGGTCCCCAGCCCTGGCACCCAGGCGCTTCTGTCTCCCCCTCCAGCCCCACCTTCCTGGAAACACACACCCTCACACTGTTTATTTCGCAAAGCCAGTCTCCAGACCTTTGCTCAGGCTGCTCCTTGTCCAGAAGGTGGCACCCTCTCCCCACCAAAGTCCAGATGGAGCCCACAGCCACAACAGAGGTGCAGGGCCTGTCCCCCAACCAGCTGGTGAACTCAGGCCAGCCCTGCACCCCAGCACCACCGCTCACCTTGTACAGCTTGGGCTGGGGCGGCCAGAAGTCATCAGGCACGTGCTTCTTAATCTCGGAGGGCTCCCCACCCAGCACCTCCCAGAACTCTGGGGGCTCCTGGCCCTGCACCAGCAGCGTGATCTCGGCCTTCCCTTTCCTCATTTTCTGGTTTTTCTTCTGCACAAGAGCCGAGGGCAGAGCAAAGCCTCAGGCGACCGCACTCTTCCTTCCAAGACTCACGCTCCTCGTACCTGGCCTTGGTGGTGCTGCTCAGTGTGGCCTGGGCCCCCCGCCACACGTAAATGTCCAGCCCTCGGTCCAGCAGGAAAACAAACCTGGACAGGAAGGGGCAGGAGGCCGTTGTGATGGGGAGGGGCAAATGAACCTTGCCCCATTTAGGCCCTTTAGGTAAGCCTCCCATAAAACTCCCCATGGTAGAGAGGAGTGAGGTCAGCACTCCCCCTCACATGCTTGAGCTCACTTGGTCAGGGAAGCTTGGGGGGTCCAACTTGATTTTTTTCCCATACACGCGGTACATCCTGGGGGCCAGGGCAAGAGCGGCTCAGGGCTAAGTTGGGTCCTTGGTGCCCACTACTAGACACTCGCCCAGCCCCCACCATTCCAAGCAGAGTCCAGGTCTCTACCACCCACCCCACACAGACCCTCACCTGGTGACGTAGTGCGTGTCCTCCACAGTGTAGAAGCCACTGGCTGTTCCACCCTCAATGTAGGAGATGTCATTGTCAAACACCTGTGTGTGAGGGTGTGGATTTTTATCACTCAGCTGCCCCTCTCCCACCCAATATCACCTGTCAGGCAGGGCAGAGTGTATACAGGTGAACTGGATGCTACAAATCTATGATAACGTTACCGACAAAAAAAGATCTGTGCCTATAAACTCAAACAAATATTACAGTGTTGGATATGCAAAAATATGTGTTCATTTGTGTTTGTAGAGTTGCATGCAGCACGTTTAGATATGTGCAGATCAAGGTATAGAAGCAAACAGGTTTGTGGAAGAGTGCAAATCTGGTGCAAAACTCAGGATGCGTGTGTGTGTCTAGGCATAACCCGTGGGAGGGTGCAGCCTGCTATCCCTGATTAGTAATTTATTCAAGACTAGACTCTGGTCCAGACTCTGGTCCATCCTTGGCCGGCCTCCTTGGCACCTAGGAATGGCCCTGACCCCTAACTGCTATTGGCCCCAGCTCCCCATCTCTCTTGCCCACACCCCTTGGAGCCTGTGCCCAGCTGCCTGTGCCAGCCCATGGGTCTAGCTCCTGGTCCCAGCCTGCCCCCTTATCCTATCCTAGTTGAGTCCAGCCCCTGTTCCAGGCCTCTCCTCCACTGACCCAGGTCTTGACCACCTATGGCTTCACCACTCTCCCTGACCTCACCCTGCTCAGCATCCTCAACCCCACCATCATCGGCCTCATCGCCCACCCTGCCCATCAGCCCTGCCTGCCTGTCTTTGGGCCCACCCGCCACCCAGCCCTATGCACAGGGCTTCCTGGGTGCCCCTTCTCTACCCGCCCCCTCACTCGCGTGGGCTGGCACCTGCAGGAACTCCTCGCTCTCGTCGCCCATCTCCTCCCGCACTGTGCGGCACTCAGCACCCAAGTAGTTGCGCAGGTTGACGGCGTGGATGGCAGAGCAAGCCTTTTTGTCGAGTGTGGCCTCCCCTCCGATCCAGTAGTAGATCTCCCAGTTCAGGGAACCGCTGTCATCCAGAAAGGTCTAGAGGCCAAGGCACCACCGTGTCAGCCTTCGCTGGGGGCCATCCTGGCTTTCCAGCTGCCCGTGAGAGGCCACTCTGTCTGGCACGGGCTTCCAGCCCCAGGATGTACCGCCACCTTTGCCTGCCCACCTCCCACATAGTCTCACTGAACAGAACTAGGAAGGCAGGGCCGGGCGCGGTGGCTCACGCCTGTAATCCTAGCACTCTGGGAGGCCAAGGCGGGAGGATCGCTCAAGGTCAGGAGTTCAAGACCAGCCAGAGCAAGAGCGAGACGCTGTCTCTACTAAAAATAGAAAGAAACTAGCTGGACAATTAAAAATATATAGAAAAAATTATCCGGGCATGGTGACGCGTGCCTGTAGTCCCAGCTACTGGGGAGGCTGAGGCAGAAGAATCGCTTGAGCCCAGGAGTAAAAAAAAAACTAGGAAGGCAGGAACTCAGCCACCTGCAATAAGGGCCCTGGGCCCACAGTGTGCCCGGCCCTCACCTTGAGCACGATGTAGCAGTCGGCCTCGTAGAACTTGCCGTGGAAGGCTTCCTCCACCAGCACAGGCACGAAGTTCTCGATCTGCCAGATGGTCAGGCCGGGCAGCTGGCCCACGTCCTCCGTGAAGAACTCAGAGTAGTCGAGGCGCGGCTTCTCCAGGCCCTGGTCCCAGCGCCGCACCTTCCCCCCAGGGGCTCGGGTGTCCGCACTCTCCTGGGGTCACAGTGCACGGCTTAACTCTGCGAAGCCACTTAGGCTGGTCTCTCTGCTTACCACCCACCTCAGGGCCTTTGCATGTGCTGTCCCCACTGCCCACGGCCCCCTCTCCCTCTTGGCCTAGGTCACATGGGCTGCCTTGAGCAGAGCCCAGCTTCGCCTGGCTTACCTCCTGCTTTTTGTTCTTCTCCTGGGCCACGTCAGACATGCCCTTCAGCACCTGCTTGGCCTGGTCATCCTGGGCTGAGTCCCTGCGCCTCCGCAGCCGCATCTTTCGAGCCAGAGGGTCCTTGGGCCCACTCCCTGCTTAGGAGGGGGGCAAGCCCCTGAGCCCTGGCTGGGCCCGCCCCCTGGGGCAGACAGCCAACCAGGGTCCAAGCCCATCCCCCAGGGTCCCGAGCTGTATCCCACCCAATTTACAGAGGGATGAGGTGAGATCCGGAGAGGAGCCCCCATTCCCAGGCCCGACCTTCCCCTCCTCACCAGCTGCTGCTGCGGCCACTGTGGCCGGGGAGGCACCTGCCAGCCGTAGCTGGTTCTGCAGTGAGAAGTCGATGTTGTACCACTCAGCAGCGCGGTCAGCAGGCTTGGGCGGCATGACCAAGTTGGGGTTCTCCCTCACGTCCAGGACCTGCCCCATGGGTAAGCAAAGCTGGCGCTGAGCCTGTGTCCCATGTCCCTCCCGGCCACACCGTACCGGTTTCTTGCTCTTCTTGTCTGTAGATATGAAGTCTGAGAAGCCTGGGGCTGGGCCAGGGACCTGGGTTCTTGTCCCACCCACCTCTGGGACTAGTTGTGGGCTTAAATGACACTATCAAGAGTGTTCTGGATGCAGGGATGTGGCTCACCTTCTCCCCACAGCCACCCTGGCACTGGCCACCCCTCCAGGAGGCCCCTCTCTGGGGGACCCATCGCCAGGGCACAGCTCTCTGCCACCCTCCCTCACCTCGATCTCTGTCAGGAAGTGGATGGCCTCTGGGAGGGTCACCAGGCGGTTCTTGTTCAGGACAAGTTTCCTCAGCTTTGGGCACCTGTGAGGACAGGGCCAGCTAGGCCTCAGGGAGGTGACAGACAAGGGGGGAGGGTGGGGAAACTTCCAGTCCCAGGGAAGGGAGCGAGGTAGGACCAGAGGACTGGAGGGGGGCCTCTGACCACGCTAGCAGGTGAGGTCCAGAAGGGGATGGAAGCAGCTGTTCCAAACTCACGTGGCACTGGAGCCTCAGCCCTTGTCCGTTACAGCACCCTCCCAAAGGGTACTCTGGGGAACCCAAGCTGGGAATTGCGGGCATGGGACTGTGGTCTTCATCCACAGAGGCACGTTAACCCATCTCTGCACTGTATGATACACCGCAAGGTGGCTTCTGGCTGGGATTCTGTGGCTTTCTGTGCTGTGAGCCCCAGCGAGTCCCACCCCCCAGCACCTGCAGAGGCTTTCGGGGATAAGCTCCAGGTTGTTGTTGGCGGCCATGAACTCCTCCAGGCTGGCCAGCTTGCCGATGCCGGAGGGCAGCCCGTCGAAGTCCAGCTTGTTGGAGTTCAGGTACAGCTTCTTCAGCTTGGTCAGCTTGCAAATGGCCGACTAGAGGGGAGCCAGGTGGGACGGGGGGTCAAGGCCGGGCCCAGCGGCCTCCCCCCACCTCCCCCGAGGGCCCAGACGCACAGGTAGTGAAGTGAGCTGGTTGCGGGACAGGTTCAAGGTCTCCACGTGCACCCACTGGTCGATGCACAGGGACAGCTCCGCGATCTGGTTGCTGCTGAGGTTGAGGCGGCGCAGGCTGGGGAGGGTGTACAGGCACTCGGGCACCCACGTCAAGTCGTTGCAGGACAGGTCCACGTCTGGGGTGTGGGGGGCACATCAGCTGGGGCCCACACGGCAGGAGCCAGGGGAAGCCAGCCCTAGTGTGAACCCCAGCTCTGCCACCTCCAGGCTGTGTGGCCTTAGGCAAGTGACAACCTCTCTGTCCAATTTGTCCATTTGGAGCAAGTCCCCCACCCTGGGTGGGTCTAGGCATAAAGTCAGTGCTCACAATTCGATGTTATTAGTAGTCATCATGACGACAGAGACAGTCATCACATAACCGTATCCCTTTCTCTCTGGGGAGCGGTCTGGGAAGCAGGGTTCGACCCCTCTGTCCGTCAAGAAGCAAGAGCGCTCAGAGGGCCCTGACCTGCGAGGTTGCTCAGGCCCTCCAGGCTGGTGGGGAGGTTGCTCTGGGTGCGCTGAGTGTTCCGCAGGTGCAGGGTCTGCAGGGCTGTCATCGCCGGGAGCTGCCTGCAGGGTGACGTGAGTCAGGGCAGGGCAGGGCCCACCTAGCAGGTGTTGAGCGCAGGGCCTGGAGGGGCAGGCCCAAGAGCCTGGGGCCCAGAGGGCAGGTATGTGGCCATGTCTGCCAGAGGGGACAAGACCAAGGGTGGCTACAGGGCAGGGTAGATAGGAGGACAGGACTGACGGGGTGTGACACTTAGGGGCCAGGCCTGGGCCTGAGGGGAAAGGTCAGGGCCCTCCCTGGGGAGGAAGGAGCAGGCCAGACTCCCAGGTGCTTCTGCTGTGCAGTGACCCGAGGGGCGCCCACCGGAGCTGCGCGTGCAGCAGCGGGTTCCCGTTGAGCACGAGCGTCTGCAGGTGCACCAGGCGGCGCATCTGCGGGGGCAGGCTCTCCAGGCGGTTCTCGCTGAGGTCCAGGTACAGCAGGTCGGTGAGGTTGATGAAGAGTTGGTTGGGGATGGCGTCGATGCTGCGGGCGGGCGGGAGCTGCCTGGGTCAGCGCCAGACCCCCCAGGCCCGCCCAGCCCAGAGCCCCGAGCCCGCCCCACTGCGCCAGCACCTGTTGTGGCCGAGGTTTAGCACCAGCATGTTCTTGGCATTCTCTAGCTCCCGCGGGCACTCCGTCAGCTGGTTGTGGCTCAAGTCCTGGGTGGAATGAGCAAGACCCAGGTCGGGGCGTCTCCACCCTGCCTCTGCCAGGCTTGGAATCAGGCAGGGCATGGGGGAGGGGGAAGTAGATGAGGGAGCTTCAGGGACAAAGGGAGACAGCTGGGACCTTGGTAGGAAGGGTACGTGAGTTAGGGATCTAATTCTAGGAGTGACCTCAGGCAAGGCACTGCCCACGCCAAGCCTCAGTTTCCCCACCTGTAAAATGGGATAACAATGGCCCCAGGGACTTTTATAGTACGTGGGCACTGACTGGGCTGGCTAGCTCAAGGGCCAGGTGGGTGGGTAACACTGACCAGGACTGAGAGGTCATCCAACTTGAAGATGTCATCGGGGACTCCAGAATTCTTCAGGCTATTGGCTCGGGCCACAATGGCCTGGGGATAAACCATAAGGGTCCATGATTCCTGGCTTCCGCCTCCAGGAAAAAGCAGAGAGGCCGTGCAGAGGCACCTCCTCAGGAGCCCCGCTGGAGGCCAGGCCTGAGTGCTCGCCCCTCTTTGGCATCTGCTCTAACGGTCCCTCCACCTTGCAGGTTCTTCTTATCCTCCCAGTGAGCTCCTAGTTATACCTAAAAGTCCTGCTCAAATGTGCCCCAGAGCCCAGCCCAGGGCCCTCAGGAACATTTTATGCTCAAACAATGCCCCCTTCTTTTTTTTTGAGACAGAGCCTCACTCTGTTGCCCGGGCTAGAGTGTCGTGGCATCAGCCTAGCTCACAGCAACCTCAAACTTCTGGGCTCAAATGATCCTCCTGTCTCAGCCTCCCGGGTAACTGGGACTATAGGCATGCGCCACCATGCCCGGCTAATTTTTTCTCTCTATATTTTTAGTTGTCCAGCTAGTTTCTTTCTATTTTTTCAGTAGAGACAGGGTCTTGCTATTGTTCAGGCTGGTTTCGAACTCCTGATCTTGAGTGATCCACCCGCCTCGGCCTTCCAGAATGCTAGGATTACAGGCGTGAGCCACCACGCCCAGTCAAGGAATTCCCCCTTCTTCTTAATTCCAGAAGGCAAGATAGGGGTGTGGGTCTGAGTTGGAGTTTGGAACACAAGAGGACTGGACCAAGGAAATCAGAATGAGGATGGGAGAAAGTCTCACTTTGTCTTCCCTGAGGCATAAATCTCCCCACACGTGCAGAAAACACAAGGACGAGAGTGGACAGGGCAAGGGAATGGTGCCATTACTGCAAGCAATGACAGAAGCAATGGCAGCCACCTGACACTCTCCAGCCTAACGTCCCTGAGGCACCATGCTGCTGCCCCATGTGGTCATCACTGATGCTCCCAACCACCATATTTGCAGACAAGGCCCAGAAAGTAGGAGGGACTTGTCCAAGGTCATGTGGCCAGGCAGTGGCAGAGCCCAGCTTTGAACTCGGGGAGCCCAAGTCCAGATACTGTGCCCTTAACATCTCCAGGACTCTGACCTTAGATGAGATCACCCTTGCTGAGGCCCACAGGATTTGGCCAGGGGCCTGATGTTCCAGAATGTCAGAGGACCTTCCTGGCCAAACCCCACCCGACCCCAGTTCTACCGCTGCCTGGCTATGTGACCTGGAGCAAGTAACCTGCCTTGGTGGCCATGTTGCCTCCTCTGTGACACTGGTGTCGGTCAGGAGTATATAAATAAAATCCACATAGAACAGCTGGAACACTGCTCAGCCTGTACTGGCTGTTAGTATCATAGCTGTTGTTCAGAATCAGTGGTGGGAATTCGGATTTTTTTTTTAAAACAGAGTCTCACTTTGTTGCCCGGGCTAGAGTGAGTGCCCTGGCGTCAGCCTAGCTCACAGCAACCTCAATCTCCTGTACTCAAGCAATCCTTCTGCCTCAGCCTCCCGAGTAGCTGGGACTACAGGCATGCCCCACCATGCCCGGCTAATTTTTTCTCTATATATATATTAGTTGGCCAATTAATTTCTTTCTATTTATAGTAGAGACGAGGTCTCGCTCTTGCTCAGGCTGGTTTCAAACTCCTGACCTCGAACAATCTGCCTGCCTTGGCCTCCCAGAGTGCTAGGATTCCAGGTGTGAGCCACTGTGCCCGGCCTAGATTTTTTTTTAACCTTTTTCCCTCACAGAATTCTCTGATCCATATGGGTAATTTTATACAGGGTACTGTAACTTCTTGCAACAAGAGGGCCCCTCTTGTGACACCTGGGGCCCTGAGCCTGACATGGAGGTGAGCAGAGATGCTGGCCCAGCCTGGGGTTTGGCCCGGCCCTTACTTCCTGGCCAGACTCCAGCTCCAAGCCCCAAGCCCCAGGCCCAGCGGCCACCTGGCCGGTACTCACCCGCAGTGACGGCAGGCTGGACAGCTCCCCGTGAAGCGTGGTCAGGTTGTTGTGGCTCACGGACAAGTGTTCCTGGGCAGGGACAGGGGAGCAGAGACTCAGTGGGTGGGTGGGGTGTCCAGAGTCCCTTCTGAAACCACTACTTTGTACCATCCCAGCCCGTGGCCATACAGGTGCACTGACATCTGCAGCCTCCCTCCCCCACAGACCCAGCCTCTTCCTGCATACCTCCCGGGATGGGAGCTCACTCCCTCCCTGCCAGCTCTGCGCACAGCTCTGAGTGTTTTCCTCTCTCTGGAGAAGCTGCCCGCCTTCTCCGCAGGCTCTGCCCACCTGGCTCAGCCATAGGGACCCTCCCTGCCCGCCCAAGCCCCTTACCAGCTTCTGCAGGGCAGCCAGCTCCTCTGGTAGGTAGCAGAGGCTAGTGCGGTTCAGCTTCAGCCATCGCAAGCTGGTCATGGCCTTGACATTCTCAGGGAAGTAGCCGCCCTGGGGGGTGGGAGGTTGTCACGGAGGCTTGTCTGGGAGTGTGGAGTCCCTGCTCCACTACCTGCCACGGCCCACTGCCCACAGGAGCCTTTGGGGAGCAGCAGAGCCAGCTCTCACCAGCTGTGAGTCCGGGGACATGTCACTTCATCACTCTGTGCCTTGATTTCTTCACCATAAAATGGGACTAATAAAAGCCCCCACATGACAAAAGCGTTGGCCTAAGACGTGTCTCTCTTGCTGGATTCAGCCCCAGGAGGGCCAGCACAAAACTGGCCTGTTTCAGGTGATATCCCAGCACCCCGATTTGTGGTTAGCTTGGCTCAAATCCCTTCGCCTGGCCTCCAGGCCCTGACGGGGCTGCCTGGGGTGGGGGTTCCCCAGATCCTCTGCGCAGGCCCCACCTGTGCCCTCACCTTGCCATCAGCATACAAGCGACTCATGGTGGGTCCCAAACCCTGCTGTTGAGAGGCCATGGTTCCCAACCCTGCCCCGGCACAGCCTCGTTCTCATCCCCCACATGGGAACGCCCACCTCGGCACCTCCAGCCCTTGTGGCAGGAAGTCTGGGGCAGTACGTGCCATCAGTGCCCTTGGCTGGTGCCCCCTTCCCCCTCTGGCCACATTCCCAGCGGGTTACTTAGCCTCTCTCCCAGTCCAGCGAAGACAAATGGGGACCTCAGGTAAGGATGGTGGGGATGGTGACAGGGAAAAGGGGCTGCCTGCTGTTAGTGTCAAAGGTGTGTACACATGTGGGTAAATGCAGGACAAACCTGCCTGCCTTCTCCGCCCAGCCCCTGGCTGACATCTAAACCGACCCCAGCCAGACTCTGCCCCTTACCCACTTCCCAGGCCAGGCTGACCCGCGGCCAGCTCTCCTCTCCCCTCCTTCTCTGCCCCCCCTTTTGGTCCCACACTGCCCACCTGTTCTTGAGTCCCTAGAACCCCTCATCTCACCAACTGGCTGTGGCAGGCTGGGCTCCAGACCCTTGTCCCCTGCCATACCAGTCCAGCAGCTGCTCAGACAACTGCCCCCCAAGACCTCGCACACCTGCCCGACACACCAACAAATTTCATTACATCCCATGGGTCCAAGAGGACTACTTTTAAGCCCCTTCGCTGGATGAGAAAGCCCAGGCTCAGAGAGGGGAAGTGACTTGCTCAAGACCACACAGGATGGGAGTGGTGGTGGCAGGGACAGGGCAGTGACGAGTTGTCTCCAGACCCGCCCCTGGGCAGCCAGGCCCCTGGTCCTGAGTCAGGGCCTGGCTTGGGTGTGTGACCTCAGAGCGGCGGGGAGGCGGGAGCACAGGCTCATCCACCCCCTATGCCTTTCTCCAGCCCGGGGCGGGGCAGAGAACAGGGACACCGAGTGGTGGCTCCCAGCTGGCCCCTCGGCGTGACTCCGAGCCCAGGCGTCTGTCCCGGGGCCGCGGCGCCTCGGTCTTCCCGTGCGGAGGCCTCGGAGGTCTGTTCCGGGCAGCGGGAGGCCGGCGCAGAGCCCCACCCAGCCCGGGTCGCGGTCCCGGCGGCGCTCAGGACCCGGAGGCGGGCGGGGCAGGAAGCGGACACCGGCGCGGGCGGGCGGAAGGGAAGGCCCGCGGGGAGGCTCGGCCCGCCGCCGGCCGGCTCACCTTGAAGTCGTTGCCGCTGAGGTCCACGCCGCGCACGAACGGCAGCACCCCGGTGGCCTCCATGGCGCCGCTCTCGCAGCCGGGCCGGGCGAGGGGGTGGCCCGGCAGCCGCGGGCTGGGCCAGCGCCGGCCCCGCCCCTTTAACCCGCCCGCGCCCGCCGCCAGGGGAAGCCGGCTCGGCGCCCCGCACCGGACCCGGACGCACGGGGTCGCTCCGCGGGGAGGCGCCGGCCCGCTGGGCCTCCGCTTCTCCGCCCGTGCGGCGACTGGAGAGGCCTGGAGGATGCAGGGCCCCGTGCTCGAGCAGGAGGCTCCCACAGCCTCCGCGCTCAAGGCCCGGGGCCCCAGGCCAGGGCTTCACGGCCGCTGCAAGGCTGCAGGCCGCTGCGCCCCCGGAGAGATCCCAGACCCAAGCCCCGGGGCGCAGGCGCCCAGAGTGTCTGCGCGTGCGTCCCCGGGTGCCTGACTCCTGCTTCTGGCTCTCGTCTCCTCATGTGTGAAATGCTTCCTAGGGTTGTCGCCAGAAGCAAGTGGACAAATGCCTGCGTTGCTGGCAGCACGCAGCAGACGCCAGGCCAGCGGCAGAGTATTCCCGCTTACGCCGGCACCCCTCGTTACTGGCTGCTGGTGCCCCCGCTACAAGGGGGCTGCAGATCAGCCGCGTCCGCCTCGGTCCGGCTGTTCACGCTGCGCCACCCGGGCGGCATGTGGCCGGCCCCGGTACCTGGGCCTCAGCTCACATGCACGACCACCCTTCGCAGGGGTAGAGGGGCCGACCCCTTTTACAGGAGAAAAATTTGAGGCCGGGGTAGAAGGGCCCACACAAGGTCGCACGGAGATGGCAGGGATAGGCTCTCTCTCCCAGGTGTGCCCCCAGCAGGCCCGCAGGTAACCAGGAAGCCACCAAGGACTTCCTGCAGAGATGACCTAAGAGGTCGGAGGCGCGGGCCCCTGGCCAGCTGCTGCCTGACTGCCAGGCCTGCGAAGGGGCGTAGGCCAGACAGCTTTCTCCAAAGCGGAGGCTCACATTACAGACGCACAGGCCACCAGAGGACAGCTGCTCACACCGCCATTCGCGTGGTGGGAATGCAGCCTTGCGCCTTTAAATTCGGAGTGCGCCGGCGAGTCCCGCCTCAAGAGGGCGTGGCCTACCCGTCACTGGCTGAGCCGCGCAGTATTTTGGAACCTCTGCGCGGGAGCCCAGCGCTCCGATTGGGGCTAGGGCCTGCCTGTCTGCGTGCCTCTGGGGTCAGAGGCTTCCCCCGGGCCCTGGGCGTTCGGTTCCCGGGTGTTTCACGTTCCATTCCCAGGCGTTCCGGACTTAGGGGCCCGGTGGAGCCGCTGCGTCCTCCAGTCGCTGCGCAGACGCCACGACGCAGGTACGGCTGGAGCGCCGAGGGGCAGCCCCGGGGGCACCCAGCCCCGGGCGTGGCGCGCGTCCCGGGTGCAGATCGGAGGCGTGGCCCGCGGTCTCCGCCGGGGAAAGAGGGGAGGGCTCGGGGCCCCAAGACTCGAGGTCGAATCCCAGCCCTGCCCTTTCCCGTCTCGGGCATTTTACTTGGGTTCCCTGGGCCTTGGTGTCTTTCCCTGTGAACCGGGCTGCAACAGGCCCCCCTAGCCTAGGGGCTGCTGTGTGGCCGGTCAACCCTGGCCTAGGGCAGGCGGGTTTGGCGGAGGAGGGGAAGGCCAGGCGGCATCCAGGGCTTGGCTGTGCAGTCAGGTTATTTTTAACCACCCGCGCCCTCTCCCCCTTCCTGGAGTTGGAAGGCTGCGGGTTAGGGCCTGCGCGACCCCTCCAAGAGCAGGGCTGAATCCCAGTTTAGACAGGTGGAGGATCTTTAAATAGCTTTACAGTTTGCAAAGTGGATTCCTGGTCCCGCCGGGGGTGGGTGGCAACACTGATCCCCGTGTCACCGATGAGGAAGCTGAAACTGGCTGTGGTGGCCTAGGACCTGTCTGGCCTAGGACCGCCCCAGAGCCTGTTTTATTTTTAGTCAGAAGCAAATGCGTGCGTGTCCGTGCTCAATCACATAGTGCTTCAGTCTTCAGCTACTCCAGGCCTCTTGTCACCTGGCAACAGCCCCTGGCACCCACAGCATAGCAGGGAGGACAGAAGTCCTTGGTGCCCCAGGTCATCTCTGAGGCCTCCCCCACAAGACCTCTGCCAGGTGTCTGACGGGTGCCCTAAGCTTGCCTCTTGGTCACACATCTCCCTCAGCTCTCATTGCCTGAGGACAGCGTCCTCTCACAGAACCTGAGGCTGGGGCTTGGTGGACTGGACCCTGGGAGATCTCTGCCTCCACTTCCCAAGTGCCCAGCCCCACCCAGCCATACACTGCAGGGCCGCTCACTCTCCTTGCTGCTGCCTGTGCCATCGGCCCTCATCTTACCTTCTTTGTTGCTTGGCCTCCTGGGAGCTGAGGATAACCCCCGGGCCCCCCAACAGTGTCCCAAGCCCCAGAGGCCCTGATAGCCCTCTGTCTGGGGCCACTGGGCAGCCCTCTGGATCAGTCTTTAGGATTGCCCCTGACTGTGGGGCTTCGGCTTTGGCTTGCACATGCCCATTGGCCTCCCTGGCCACCTGGGCCATCTCACTCTGCTTGTTCTCTCACTTGGGACCTCTGCCTCTGGGGGCTGCTACCAAGATTTGAGGCTTTGCCTCTGAGCATCACACAGGTACCCGCCAAAGGCCCGAGAGGCCCCCCCAGGCAAGCTGTCTGGGCCGCCAAATCACTGGTCTTCTCTGGGCTTCAGGTTCCTCCTGAGAGGATATCAGGGAGGGCTGCTGTGCCCAGCCCTTGTTAGGAACCTGGGAAGAGGCAGCCTCTGAGGACCTGGCCACGTGGCACAGGGAAGACCCATCGGAATCTGGAGGCTTTGCATTCATGGGTTTGAGACCTCGATACTCACTGTGCGGTTTGGCAGCCTGTAGCTCTGTAAAATAGGGGTGGCCATGATAAGACCCACCTCACAGGTCTTTGGTGATGTCAGGGGTCCTGGAAGGTGGGTGGGGGGAGATGGGCCCTTCCCCTAGCTGCCACAGGGCCTTTGTGAGCTCTTCTTTCCAGGGGTGGGTTGCTTGCAGCTTTGGGGGAGAGGGCTTGGCTGCTCCTCATCTCCTTGCAAGAAATGGGGACTTGGGGCCCCAGACCCCAAGTTCCAACTCCAGCCCTGCCCCTTCCTGTCTTGGGCACTTCACTTGGTTTCCCAGGGCCGTGGTGTCCTCCCCTGTGAATGGGTGGCCCTTTTCTCATGAGACATTCTCAGCCCTCTGAGGGATTGACTGTTACCCCAGCACGATGGCAGCCAGAGGTCCTGCGCACACTGGCCCCGCTGCCAGCCTGGCTGCCTGCAGCCTGAGCTGTTGCTGCACCCCTGGCTCTCTTACAGGCCGACCATGGCAGAGTTCTCCCAGAAACGGGGGAAGCGGCGTGGCGACGAGGGGCTGGGCAGCGTGGTGGACTTCCTCCTGGCCAATGCCCGCCTGGTGCTGGGTGTGGGCGGGGCTGCCGTGCTGGGCATTGCCACCCTGGCTGTGAAGCGGGTAAGACCAGGCTGGGTGGGTCATCCCTGAGGCTCCCAGAGGAGGATGACAGGGCTGGGGCCTGCACAGGGTCCAGGGGGGGTGTGGGGACTTCCCGAGGCTGGTGCTGGAGCTCAGGGCACCTGCTTCTCCCTAGCACCCTGGTTTGCTTTGCCCCTGGGCTTTGCTGTGGCTGCCCAGGCTTCGGATGCTCTGATCTGTGTCCCCCTGCCTGCAGTTCATTGACAGAGCCACTAGCCCACAGGATGAGGATGACACCAAGGGGGACAGCTGGAAGGAACTAAGCCTTCTCAAGGCCACACCAAACCTGCAGCCCCGGCCCCCGCCTGCTGCCCTCAGCCAACCTGTGTTGCCCCTGGCCCCCCTGCCCTCTGCCCCAGGTGAGTGGCACCCTTCCCTTCTGATGTGGGTGGGTACCTCTTTGTTGGTCACATTCAGGAGGTGCAGCCCAGGCTCTGCCACTGATGGATGCTGTGACCCTACACATGTCTCTTCCCCTCTCTGGGCCATGGGCTCCCCAAACATTTAATGGGGATTGTATTTCTTTGCCGTCCTACCAGAGCGAGGTGACAGCATGATGGTGGGGAGCCTCAGATGGGGAAACTGAGGCCTAGAGAGAGGCAGGACCTGTCCCACTTTCCACTTTGCATGAAGCTGTAGTAGCTGTAGGGTGAGGGTGATAGACTCTGGGACAAGGAGCACTCCTTGTCAAGTGCTCACTGTATGAGAGGATGGGAACTAAGTGCTTTCTCAGGTGTCATAAGCAATGAGGAAAGTGAGGGGCAGGGACATCACAGAGCTAGTCATCAGGTAGGGTTCTGTTCTGACTGGTTCCCTGTGCCTTCACTCTGCAGAGGGTCCCACAGACACTGATCCTCAGGTGCCACCTCAGCTCAGCTCCCCAGCACCGCTGTGCCTGACATTCCAGGAGAGGCTGCTGGCATTTGAGCGGGACCACGTGACCATCCCAGCAGCCCAGGTGGCTTTGGCCAAACAGCTGGCTGGTGACATTGCCCTGGAGCTGCAGGCTTACTTGCGGAGCAAGTTCCCAGAACTGCCCTTTGGGCCACTTGTGCCCCAGGGGCCACTCTACGATGGGCTACAGGCGGGGGCCGCCGACCATGTGCATCTCCTGGTACCACTGGTGTTGGAGCCGGGTCTGTGGAGCCTGGTGCCGGGTGTGGACACCGTGGCGAGGGACCCTCGCTGCTGGGCAGTGCGCAGGACTCAGCTTGAGTTCCGCCCCCGAGGGAGCAGCCCCTGGGACCGCTTCCTGGTGGGAGGCTACCTCTCCTCCCGCGTCCTGCTGGAGCTTCTCCGCAAGGCACTGGCTGCCTCCGTCAACTGGCCAGCCATCGGCAGCCTCCTCGGCTGCCTGATCCGGCCCAGCCTGGCCTCCGAGGAGCTGCTGCTCGAGGTACAGCACGAACGCCTGGAGCTCACAGTAGCTGTGCTCGTGGCAGTCCCTGGGGCCGATGCTGATGACCGCCTCCTGTTGGCGTGGCCCCTGGAGGGGCTGGCTGGGAACCTCTGGCTGCAGGATTTGTACCCAGTAGAGGCCGCCAGGCTGCGGGCCCTCGATGACCATGACTCTGGGACCCGCCGACGGCTGCTG